TATATATTTTCTAAAAGAGGCCCTGTAGCGTAAAAAAAAATAATATGCTAGTTGCAATTTTTGTTGCACAGTTTTGTGCAAATGTTTAATCTGAGCAACAACCCCTGCTTTTTTTTGTTTTGTTATGTAATCACTTTAGTGCCAAGTATAAGCCCCCTATGTAATAGCAAAGCACATGTGACGGGTCCTCTTTGTGGAGATATCATGGGTCTAGTAGACCCTGTCATCTAGAGACCAAAAAAAATGCTGATGAAGTAAAGATCTGCTTCATCTGCTGCTTTTGGCTATAGCGGGCAGAGACATGACACACTGAACCGGAAGTTATGTAATGCACATCGTTTCCATGGTTCATTGATCGGAGGGGAGATCATGCGCTGGAAGTGTGCGGATTTCCTTCCAGTCACGCAGCAGAGACTGGCAGTGCCAGTCCCTGGCCCGCACAGGGGGACAGCAGAGCCCAGATAGCTGGGTGGGGTGCCACCTGACCCTTTCTCTAACGCAACACACGACCTTGCATTGCAGCATTCTAATACTGTAGTGCATTGGGGTGCCGTTCACAATGAGCGCACAGGTTACAGCAATGCAGAAGTGTAAATGGGCTCTCCGGGATGATGGTTGGGGGCGCGCGCTGTGTGTTCAGGACATGTAGAATGTACTAACCCGTTCTTTCCTTCCAGAATATCCTAATCACGTACATCGGAATGTTCTTTGGAGGGGATTACATATTCTCATGGACAAACTTCCTGGGGTTAAACATCAGGTAGGAATGCAGACTAAAAACTTGTTTTTGTAATTGATTTAAAGTGGATGTCAACCCGAACCATGAACTTCTCCTCCTATATGGTCGCCTTTGGTATGTTAAATAGACCATTGGAAGGGTTTTGTGTTCAATAAATGCAAAACAACCTGTCACACGTCCAGTACAGTCCTGTGCACTCTGCAGTGTTGTTCTCGATTTAAAAAAAATAAATACATTTTTTTTTCACTTTCAAACGTCCTGCCGGCTCACCTAACACAAGCCCCTGTGTCGATACCAGCATCCAAAGGTAACGTGGGCCCGGCTTTTCCATCCAATCAGGAAGCTGGGCGGCCCTGATGCCAGAACTGCCCGTCATATTGAGATTCCTCTTGACAGGCAGTGATGTGAGGGAGCATGGAGCTGGCCTCCTGGCCAATCAGGTCGCTGAACACTGTCATGACCAGGCTTCCTGATTGGCTGGAAAGCCAGCTTCACGCTGCCTCGTGACACTGCGTGGCACCCTGGCTGGGAAACTGGCTCCATGTGTCCTCTGTCACTGGTGCTCAATGGGAATCTCCCTCTGAGTGGCAGTTCCGGTAGCGGAGTAAGTATTGGAGCATATGGCGGGTGGGGGGGGGGGGTAGGGGTGGGGGGGGGGGGGGGGGGGGGGGGGGGAGTATGACTACCTGCCCCAATGCTCAGTAGCGGCATTGATACCAATGTCTGTGCCTTCCTACTACATAGCAGTGAATACGGAAGTTCCTTCATGCACGCTCTGATTGTATCTATTTCTGACTCTTCCCTCTTCCCAGCATTGCCGGCAGCTTGGTTTACTCGTACATCACATTCACAGAAGAGCGAAAGAACAAACAGTCGGAATCCATCAGCAAACTGGAGAACAAGGGGAAGAGCGCGGTGTGAGCGCCTTCCGCCTCCTCATTGTGAGCGCCGCGTGTCTAGCACATCATGGACGTGCCCGCCAAGCTATTGCTAATTTGCACAAATCAATTGAAATAATACTTTTTATATATTTTAGATAATTGTTTTTAGCGACAACTTATTTAATTCCAAAAGCTGTAACGGTATTTTTTTAAATCCACTGAACAACCCCTTGCCGTGTGACTTGGACAGCACAGACAGTTGTGGCACTGCGGGGTGTGCTGCCGATATTTTAACTTTTTAATGTTGGGTATGAAGATGCAATGTTAGAGCCACTGTAGCGGTGTTTAGAAGAAGTGGGCTTGATAGAGGTTTATGAGTTCTGCTACACGAGTTTTAATGTGGTTGGAAAGTGTCGCCAAGGTGGCTGTGCTCAGTGAGAGAAAACAAATGGTACCGAGAGACACAGGGAGACGATTCTATAACTTGGGTGTCTTTTTAGGGGCATTAAAGGAGAACTATGAGGTGAGTGCTTTTCACTCGCCTCATAGTTCTAGCCGACCTGTGACTGCTCTCTGCTGTGACAGGGGAGGGGCTGGATTCCCCCCCTCCCTGATCCGCCAGTGCTGACTGGTGGAACAGATGGGGGAGGGGGCGGGTACAGCTGGGTCTGCCTCTAGATAGGCAGAGCCAGCTGTCAGTCACGCAGCTGGGCGGATCCTGGCACAATTGTCGGGATCCGCTTCAGCGTCTCAGTATAGAGAGCTGTAGCTCGCGGTATACTGAGTTTAGGGTAACGGGAGGACGCTAGTTTGTGCTAAGGAGAACTATGGGGAAAGACTTAACCCCATAGTTCTCCTTTTTTAAGATATGAGATTCACACCTCTCCTTGCTGCCTTTGACACCTTCAGGTGCTCTACAATGAATGGAGGTTACTGCAGAGAGTGTGGCACCACCCATCAACAAACCAAAAATGTTGATATGCCCTGTGGTAACCTCCATTCATAGACAGGAGCAGGTAGAGCCACTGCCATATGCATTCTAATTTACTATTAGTTTTACCTCTCTGCATGCACATAAATGGATCTAGTTTACCCCTAAATCTGTATGGAAGGATAAGACAGGTAAGATTTTACTATTATTGGGAGCTAAAAGCAACCAACCACCACCCCCCCCCCCTTATAGGATTTAGTTACCTGATCTAGACATAAAGCTGGACATACACCTATAGATCTGCAGAATGTCTATGGACAGATTATACGCTCAACTCTGTGGATGGAGGAATCTCCCACAGGGCCAAGCTTCAGTATCTTGCTAGTCGGCCCCGCTGGCTCTCAAAACACCTGAACAATAGCATTGGATGCCGGCATGATTCAGGGCCGACTAGCAAGATACTGAAGCTCGGCCCAGCCGCACAGTTTAGCGTAGATGGAGGAGGCTGATGCATCCCCCAATCTGCAGATGATATCGGTGTATGGCTGGCAGAAGCGTCGGTGGAGGTCTGCTTTTTCCCCTATGGGTAAAGCACAGATTCATTTCAGGGGGCTGTCAGATTTGTCTTTAAAGACCCCATTTACAGTAATGCATTATGGTAATGGAAAGGGTAGCTTAGCACAATGCGTGCTAAACCCATGCGTGTTGCTGCACCATAATGGTGTGAACGGGCCGACACTGCATTGGGGTGCCGATTTCTCCACCTGCCTTTTAGATTTTGCCCCTGCAATCAGATCTGTTGGTTTTACCCCTCGGAGCCAATGGTAATAAGAACCCTAGAAACCTTTCTGCATCTGGAGTCAGTCGTTCCATTACCCCCTCAGCCGAATCTTCTTTACAGGAGCGCAGGGCAGATTGCGTCATTGCCAGTGTTGAAGATGGGAACCGAGAGCGATTAATGGTTTGAGTCTTCTAGATGACGGCCCCTAGTTTATGGAATGGCTTTGGGTTTAAACCATAAGGCTCTGTTCACACCTAGGTGTATCGAATATGGGCGTTTGTTGACATGCGTTTTACTGTGATTCGCGGTACAAACGCGTGTTTCCGAGGGCTACTTGGCTGTATCCCAATGGAAACGCGTGACAAAAACGCAGCAAAGAAGCTCCTGTAGCTTTTCAGGCGTAGGCTGTTTTGTAGCGCGTTCAGACGGGCTGGAATACGGCAAGGTGTGAACCATATCCATAGGAAATAATGGGATTTTCATGTTTTGTAGAGCGTTAAACGCACTACAAAACGTACAGGTGTGAACCAGGCCAAACATGATTTCTCCCTAAAGCAGATTTTTAAGGGTTCTCTAAACTAAAAAAGAAAAAGCAATTGTTTTGTATAGAAATCCATATATGGAAATTGCTAATGGCTCATTCTGGAACGGCTAGTTGCCTGGCTGTCATGTTAAGCCCTCGAATGGTGACTTGTAGAGGTGCTGCATGCGAGCTCTGGGTACCGAAGCCAGGGGCAGCCAGGCAATTTCAGGAGTCCAGCAATGACCAATCCCATATTGCTCTCATGTTACAATGTGAAACCAGAACAAAGTTTTCTCTCAAAATTATATACACATTATATATTAAAGCATTGTACATGACGCACACTTACCTGCTAGTGTAGCCCGTTCCAGGGATGCAGGGTCTTGTGTTCTCCTTCATTGGTCAGTCCACAGCCACTGACGCATCTCCTGTGCATGTGTTAGCAATGAGCCTGGGGAAGAATTGTTTTGGCAGAGGAGATTAGAGAGATTTCCCCCTCACTTCCTGTCCTGCTGACAATGTTTTAACAGACAGGAAGTCAAATAAAAATGTTTACTTTTAGGGGAAAGCTCTTTCTGCCAATTCCCTTGTTACAGATTTTTTTTTTTTCCAAACTTCCTGTCCGGTGCAACTGTAGTCAGCAGGACAGGAAGTGATGGGAAATCTCTCTCTAACCAAACCTAAGATAGAAGAGAAAAAAAAGGTTTTGGCTTGATGCTTCAAAGTTGAAAATTTAAAGCAACCTTTCCAACGGGGCAACCTCAGCACTGCAAAATTTTGTCTAGGGTACCAGTAAAAAAAAAAAAGCAGTACTTGCCTTATCCCTCGCTACCAGAGGCTCCTCCTCTCCATGCGTCCGGGCCCCTGAAGCAGCTTTTCTCTTGGGCGGTTGCATGGTGATGTCATCACATACAGTGCAGGACCGGGAGCCCTGCATTGTAAATGGGGACAGCGATGGCGTGTCTGCAGGAAGAGAGGAATAAGGTAAATAAAGTGGCACCCTAGACAAAAATGAGTATTTAACCCTTGCAGGGTGGGGGGGTACCCTCACCAAGGGCAGTTTTGAAGCTTAAGGGGCTGTAGTTTGGGGGGGGGACGGGACCCTCACCAAGGGCAGTTTTGAAGCTTAAGGGGCTGTAGTTTGGGGTGAGGGAGGGAAAGCACCGACTCTGATCTTTGCCCGCCAGCAGAGCTTCACCTGCCAAAGAATCTTCAGCACCCAACACACCTTGAATTGTGGTCCCCCGCGCACCGTAGTTTCAGCCGCTGACCGCTACGTCATTCCCGCTCAGCGGTGGCCGCCGTATTGACCGGTGGGTGAAACCACAGCTTGCCACAACTCATGCAAAGCCAAAAACTTTCAGGTTGGCGTGAATCTGGCCTCGAAGAGTCGACTCTTCAGCGGTCACAGCTATTAGCCAAGCAGCGGCCATCTTGTAACCGCTCGGTCAAACGATTGCATAGATCCTTCTGTGAATGGACGTCCAATCTGGTCACTGTCGTCTGTTACAAATAGGTCAGTTTGTGCCACAGCAGCATTACCCCGTGCCAGGCGCCCACCCCCCCCCATATGTGAGGTCTGGCAAGGAAATGTGTTGGCAACAAAACCATGAAGTTTACGAGGCCTTATTTCTTGTACAGTGTTCATTAATTCCTGCCATTTGTATCTATTTTCTGTACAAATCATTTTAGACATTAAAGAATGTATATATTTCAATGATTGATGGAATCGGTCTTTATTGTCTTCATGGGTCAGGTAAAAGCCTTGAAAGCACTGACCACAGTTAGTCTAAAGCCATTGTATTGGCGGGGGAACGGAGAAGGGTAAGGAACCTGGTCGTTTGTTTTATTGCAATGTCCCTACTGTGGCGTCCCGGTTGTCACCATTGATGGAAAAATCCAAAATTTTACTTCTCACTAGAACAGGAAGAGAGGGGGGAACTATTTTACCTGCGAACAGCACATCCTAGAGTGACGACGCTCAATCATTTTTAGATTGCAAGCCCTCAGGGGCAGGGCCCTCCTTACCATCTTGTCTTGTGACTGTAATGTCTTCCTTGTATTGTAAAGCGCTGCGCACACTGTTGGCGCTATATAAATCCTGTATAATAATGATCACTGCACTGTAGCTATGAAAGCAGCCATGGTTGTCACACAGGCCAGACTTTTAAACATGTCTGCCTTTGTTCATCTCCATTGGGGGAATGCGGTCCTTGCTGTCCTTGTGACAACTGACAGCTCAGATCCCCCTCCCAGCCTTCTAATCTGTAATGGAAAAAAAACATGTAACAAGCTTCTCAGGGGTGGCAAACTCAGGCTCTCCAGCTGTGGTGAAACTACAAATCCCATGATGCATCTGCCTCTGCGAGTCGCGGCTGTGAGAATCTTGGAAAGCCTCAAGGGACTTGTAGTTCCACAACAGCTGGAGGGCCGGAGTTTGCCACCCCTGCGTCTAGATAGAAGAGTGAGCAGAGCTGCTGAGTGAACGTAGACAACAGCTGTGCAATTTGATGATGAATGGCTCCACAGTGCCTCCAGCTACAGCCGTTTAGGGAGCTTCTTTTTTTTTAAACCCCATTTACTGCTCATTAAGAACATAACAATTATATAACTAATCTACATGTCAATAACCTGGCCACAGCTCCTCCTTAAAAGAGAACTATGGTATGTTTTTCCCCATGGTTCTCCTCAGGGTCACGGGAGGACATAAACTAACATCCTCCTGTGACCCTAGGCTCAATATATAGGGAGCTACAGCTCGCGGTATACTGAGACCGCCGCAGCCGGGACGAATCCCGACATTACTGTCGAGATCCACCCAGCTGTGTGATTGACAGCTGGCTCTGCCTATCTAGAGGCAGAGCCAGCTGTACCTGCCCCCTCCCGGAATGATCGGAGCTGGGAATCCCTGCAGGGAGCTGTGAGCGACAGTCAGCTCTCTGCAGGGACAGGATCGAGAAGCGAGCGACTTTGT